TAATGGTTTAATCAATAGTCGTCTTATAACACCAAGGTCGGAAGTTTAATCTAAAGTTGTGTAACCCACAACATGTTTCCATAACTAAATCACTAAACCCTTTTTTCCAGTTGCGCAGCTTATCTTTTACGATGCGGTATCTTTTGATACCACTCATCACATGTTCGACTCGGACACGGATGGATGAAATAAGACGATTCCTCTCTTTTTCTTCAAGCGTGAGGTCTCGTCCTTTGGGTTTCTTTTTCGGTTGAATGATGTTTATTCCTTGAAGGCTAAATCCTTGAAAACCCGAATCTTGAAACAAAGTACTACCATTTGGCAGACAATAACGAGTGGCATCAGCGATACGCTTGTCATGTATTCTGCCTTCACAAGTGGGGTGTCAATAACACAACTTTGCACGCAGCATCAATGACCAAGTTATTCTGTGGGTATGTTGTTTCTTTTTACCACTATAATAAGCCTTTTGTCTTTGTGGGTCTTTGGGACGTTGTATCGGACGCTCAGTGCTATCCTGAAAAAAAATGATTTGAAACTTGATTGTCAGACGAAGTATCCCCAGGCGTATCAAAAGTTGAGGGGTCTGGCTCTCGAGATGGTACTCCCCAAGGGCTGCCAAAGCACGATTGACGATGGGCAAAAGTCGGTGGATCCATTTATCGCTACAGGTGAGACACACCGAAGAGTTCACCGAGCACATCTTGTGTCACTGCCTTTCGCAGGTAAATGAAAATAAACAGCAGCTTATCCTCAATACTGGGTAAGAAACTATTTTTATACGAGCAATACTTCCGTTTTTTTCGGCGTTCTCCATCCAGTGTGTTTGTTTCGACAAACTCTAAAAAAACACTTAGAAAAGGTGGGAGCGATCGCAGAAAATTCTTCGGGCGTGTATCCTGTCAAAGAATGGAATCGTTTCGGTTTATCCTTTAGGTCTTGATAACTTGTCATGGGTCTACCTCAAAAATAATACTTTTTAAGATTCTAACATAGACTAATGACAACTTGCAATTAATCGTTATAATGTCTAATATACCACTCGACCTCTGCGTAGATACAAGCGTTCAGAATCTCCGCCCAATTAAGGTTGCCTTCACCGATTTCTGCGAAACGTTGTGTAGAGCCTTGCATTGCCATATCTTTGAGATGGATGATATCGGCGCGTCCTTTTAATTGGCGAATCCACGCTGCTGAGTCGCCACCCCCGTGCTGAATCCAGTACGTATCCAGTTCACTCTTGAAGTAATTCGGATCGCTTTCCGCATACAGAATCTCTAACCCCGTACGCCCGTTATGGCGTTCCAATTCAAAACTGTGGTTATGATAGGAGAACGTCAAACCTCCTTCAGCAAGGCGCGCCGCGACTTCCGATGCCTCTCTCGCAAATCTGGCATATCCTTCAGCAGTCCGGTATTCGCCGGGAAGTCCGCCAATTGCGGCATGCTTGCATCCCCACAATTGATGCTCGTCAATAACAGATTGTGGTTCGTCACGCATCCGTTCGTAACTTGTATGTGTCGCAATGATACTGATACCTTCACCGTCAGCAATGTTTTTCAGTGCGGCGGGTTCAATTGGACCCAGCGCGGAACATTGCACCGCCTCGTATCCGAGTTGCCGAACCTTTTTCATCGTTTCGGCGATATCAGTTTCGGTTTTGGTAAACTCTCGAACAGTATAAAGCTGCGCGGCGATTTGCTGCGCTGAAAGCGTTTTTTGTGTTGCCATAATCACTCCTTCTGTCTGGCATATACTATTTGTTGGCGAATAGTATATCAAAAAAAGACATAGCAGTCAAGTTAAGTAAATTAACGTGAGTTCGATATAAGGATTCAAGTTTGGTTTCTGTAGGTTGGGTTGAGCGGTAAAAGAAAGTTCTATCATGTTTCAAAACAGATTCTGCCTTTCGATGACCTGTTCATATAAAATAGATATAGCGAAACCCAACAAACCAAACGCTTCGGAACTATGGTAAAACCTACAATTACTGAGACGCTCTAAAGAGGCGAGGTTACAAACCTCGCCAGCGGCGGTGGAGGCGTTTGGGGTCTACAACTTACTGAAGGGTCCACTTATACCAATTCTGATTGACGATTTCTCTTAAAAGGGTCTACTGTTTTTTGGTTATGCCAGGTGCGATTAGGAAACCGCACCTACCGGGTCTGGGTGGACGGTGCAGTTAATGCTAATGCGATATAAACTTTTAGAAATGGTATTATCTATAGAATTCACCATCAGGACTTACGCAAATTGCGTAAAGAAGCAATATATTTCACACAACAGGTCGGTTATTTAAGTTATTTAACCCCCTAAATCCCCCTTATCAGGGGGACTTCAAGAGGAAATGCGTAAATCCTAAAAATAATTAATTTGCACATAAAAAACGATTTTGATAAACTTTAAAGTATTATGAATTCTTTTTTCTTCGGCGGTAACAAACCAGGCTCTTTTCGACTTTTCCGCCTGCTCCTTCATTTCCCAAATTTCGTCAAATTGGCGTGGCGACTGTTTAGCGATGCGCGCGTCCCTATCTATCGGAAGGCGATCCTCATCCTTGCTGAATTATTAGCAGTTGCGTTCGCTGTTGCCTACTTGGTGAATCCGCTCGATTTCGATTTTATCCCTATATTTGGTCGGATTGATGATCTTCTCATCGGGGCATTTGTGATTCTTGTGCCCAGTGCATGGCTATTTATTCGGTTATGTCCCGAGCAAATCGTTCGTGAGCATGTGGAACGAATTTCACGTAGGGAATGAATAGATTTTCTTGGGCACGATGCTTTTTTTTCAACTTTTTTGCAACTTTATTATCCAATAGGTGTGTCTTTAGGACGTAAGTTCAAAAAATAAAAAATAGATGGTTCCGGCCGCCTCCAGGATCGGACCTAACATTAAATTACATCGGAGGTTTTATATCATGTTCAGACTCAGAACTACACTGCGTAACCCTGTAGGGATGATTTTGGTTTTAGCAGTGCTCATTGTCGCGGCGGGGGTTATCATTGACCGGGATACAAATGAGTTCACACTGCAAACTGCCATCGGGCAGACGAATGACACACTTCAAACATCAGAAGATTTTCTGCACTTGGAACGTGCAAATCGAGCATTTATTGATTTGGTAGCGCGGACACGACCTGCTGTCGTGCAAATTACAACAAAAACAGAACGGGCTCGACGTGAGGAATCACAAAGAGAGCGATTGTCACCCGAGGACGAAAAGCGATTTAGAGACTTTTTCGGCGATGAGCTTTTCAGACGCTTTTTTGGAGAACGCGCACCGCGGAATCTAAATCCAGAGCCTGTTACAGGTATTGGATCCGGTGTAATTGTTAGTGATGATGGTTATATTCTTACCAATAACCATGTCATTGAGCGGAGCGATGAAATTACAGTTACCTTGCCAAATGAAAAAGAATATCCAGCGGAGTTAATTGGACGCGATGCCGCCGGGACTGGGGTCAGCGGCACCGATTTGGCACTCCTCAAAATTGACGCTGAAGGACTTCCAACCCTTCCGTTTGGGGATTCGGATCAGCTTGAAGTTGGAGAATGGGTGATTGCAATTGGAACTCCGCTTAATTTGTCTCAAACTGTAACACGGGGAATCGTGAGCGCGAAAGGGCGAGCTGGCGGACATTTCAGCGGTATCAAGTACGGTAATTTCATACAAACGGATGCGCCGATCAATCGAGGGAACAGCGGCGGTGCATTGATTAACATCCGTGGTGAATTGATTGGAATTAATACATTGATTGCCACCGGTGGTTTTTCCACGGGAAATATCGGTATCGGTTTTGCTGTGCCGAGTAAAATGGCACAACAGGTCTTACCACAACTTATTAAACACGGCAAAGTCGAGCGCGGTTGGCTCGGTATTGGAATGAAACCTGTTGATTCTGATTTGGCGAAAAAGTTGAACTTTGATGCACCTCGCGGTGCTTATGTGAGTGGAGTTAGCAAAAATAGCCCCGCAGAAAAAGCTGGAATCCAACGTTCGGATGTCATTGTTGAATTTAATGGCGAAACAATTCAGAACCCGAAGCATCTGATGCATGTTGTGGCGGTAACAGAGATTGGTAAATCTGTTGAGGTAACAGTGATCCGAGAAAGCAATCAAGAAAAACGGTTAACTGTCAAATTGGGCAAACGGACCGAAGAGGCTATTGCCAAACTCAACGCTCAGTTAGCAGAAACCGAAGACATTCGGTCAGAAGTTAAAGGGTTACGGCAAAAGCTTAATGAACTTAAAGCGTTTGCCGGACTTCATGTCCAAAATCTGACCCCCGCGATTGTTGAGCGTTACGGTTACGCGTCAGACGAAAAGGGCGTAATTGTAACACAAGTTGAACCCGGGAGCATTGCAGAGAAAAAAGGGATCGTCCCCGGATCTCTCATTCAAGAAATGGAGTGGACATCAATTGACAACCTTGAGACATATTCCCGTCTTGCGGAGCGACTAACAAACGAACAGAAAAAGCAGGTGCTTCTCTATGTCAAGTCGCCGAATGAACAAGGTGGAGGGTATGTGACAATAAAGATTCCCACATCAGACAGATAATTAACACAGTGGACAACTATATTGTGTGTTCACGGATTAATGCTTGACGGATAGTTGTTTTTGTGGTATACTCCTCGAAAACAACTATCCTTTACTGTATTAAGAGGTTCAGATTGCGGATGAAAGCACAACGGGTTGTTTGGCCCGATCGCGCCAAAGTTGACGTTGAGACGTTTATGCTGCCGCCTGTCGGAGATGATGAAGTTCTTGTTGCGACAGAATGCACACTCATCAGTCCCGGTACGGAACGCGCGTTTTTATTAGGACTCCCGAATGCACAAGGGGGATACCCAACCCGTCCGGGTTATAGTAATATCGGCAGGGTGGTAGATGTTGGAAAGGCAGTTACTGATTGTGAAGTAGGTGACCGCGTCGCTTCAACGCAGGGACATACCAGCCACTTTGTGACCTCGCCGAGTCGCTTGCTAAAGATAGCATCCGCCGATGTGCCTGCTGAAGAAGCAGTTTTCTTTAATCTCGGCGCGATTGCATTGCAAGGTGTCCGGAAAGCGCGGATTGAATTGGGCGAAGCGACACTGATTTTAGGGCAAGGACTTATCGGCTTGTTGGCGATGCAACTCTCGAAACTGAGTGGTGCACTGCCGCTTATTGCGGCAGATCTCACCGATAGTCGTCTTGAAATCTCTAAAACAGTCGGAGCAGACTACACCTTCAATCCAGAAGATGCTGATTTCTCCGAACAGTTAGATGATGCCACTAAAGGCGATGGCCCCGCAGTTGTTATTGAGGCGACTGGGCACCCGGACGCAATCAGCACCGCTTTAGGTGTTGCGGGAGGGTGCGCGCGGGTGGTGTTGTTGGCAAGTACTCGTGGGGAAACACCGAGTGTGAACTTCTATCGCGATGTGCATAAAAAAGGTCTCATTCTGTACGGCGCACACAATTCTATCCGCCCGCGTCAAGAGTCCTCACCGAATTTCTGGACGCTTGAAGAGGACAGTTTCTTGCTGTTATCGCTCATCGCGCAGAAACGGTTCAACGTTATTCCGTTGATTAGCCATCGCGTCCCCGGAGAAGATGCAGCAAAAGCATATCAACTCCTCATGGAGTGGAACCCCGGCTTACTCGGTGTTGTTCTTCAATGGAACAATAGCATGTAGGCACAAGCCTGTAAGGAAAAGATGGCACGCGAATACCCGATTGAAAACGTGCGCAATATCGGCATTGCAGCGCACATTGATGCTGGCAAAACAACGACGACTGAACGGATTCTTTTCTACACCGGTAAAAAGCATAAGATCGGTGCGGTGGATGATGGCACTGCTGAGATGGATTGGATGGTGCAGGAGCGAGAACGCGGCGTAACAATTACTGCCGCCGCGACGACCTGCTTCTGGCAAGAACACGCAATTCACCTTATTGATACACCCGGACATGTCGATTTCACAGTGGAAGTGGAACGATCCTTGCGAGTTTTGGATGGCGCGATTGCCCTTTTCTGTGCTGTCGGTGGGGTCGAGCCACAGTCAGAGACGGTTTGGCGTCAAGCCGAACGCTACGATGTGCCACGCATCATCTTCGTTAATAAGATGGATAGAGTTGGCGCAAATTTCACTCGCGTTCTGGAAATGATGCAGGAACAGTTAGGTGCTAACCCACTACCCCTCCAATTACCGATGGGTGAAGGTGCTGATTTCGCTGGTGTTATCGATCTCGTGACGCAGAGAGCGATGCGCTGGGATGCAACCGACTTCGGACAGACGTATGTGGAAGCAGAGGTTCCCCCTGAATTTCAGGATGAAGTGGCACAAGCACGGGAAGTCCTCTATGAGAGTGTCGCTGTCGAAGATGAGGCGTTGCTTGAAAAATACTTGGGTGGTGAAGAAATAACCCACGCCGAGTTACTAACGGTTATCCGCGCAGCTACATTGCAAGGGAAACTCTTCCCGGTACTTTGTGGCAGTTCTTTAAAGAATCAAGGCGTTCAACCTCTATTGGATGCGGTAATTGATTTTCTGCCCTCCCCTGTTGACGTTCCTCCTATTGAAGGGACTGTGCCACATCTCGCTTCTGGTGGCGCGCGTTCCAAGCGCGCGAAAAACGCATCCGCCGAGCAGGATAAAGTAACACGCCTCGCAAATGACGATGCCCCGTTTTCAGCGTTGGCGTTTAAGGTGGCAAGTCATCCAACGGTGGATAAACTCGTTTATTGTCGAATCTATTCAGGTGTGCTCAAGCGTGGGGAGGTCGTCTATAACGTCCGTTCCGAAAAACGGGAGCGGATTAACCGTATCTTACAGATGCATGCCAATAAAGAGGCGGTCTGTGATACAGCTTACGCCGGTGATATTGTTGCACTCGTTGGACTTAAAGATACCAAGACCGGAGATACTCTGACGGATCCGAGAGAGCCTATCCTGTTAGAATCCATCACTTTCCCCAATCCGGTTATCTCAATTGCCATTGAACCTGAGCGAGCGAGCGATGCTGATGCATTGGAAGAAACGCTCGAAAAATTGATGGACGAGGACCCAACCTTCACTGTGGGAATCGACAAAGAGACCGGACAACGGATTATCTCTGGTATGGGTGAACTCCATTTAGAGGTTCTCACAGACCGCATGATCCGCGAATTCGGGGTCAATGCTCGGGTAAGCAAACTGCAGGTAGCGTATCGTGAAACTATCAGCGCGCTTGCTGAGACTCGCGGGACACATATCCATAAAACAGATGAAGAAGGTATATACGGTGATGTACTGCTAACGGTTGAGCCGTTAGCGCGTGGTGAAGGATTTCAGTTTGAAGATAACACAGATGAAACTCAGATCCCGCGACAGTACGTCCCGTTCATTGAGAAGGTATTGGAAGGTGCTATGGGGACAGGTCCCCGCATCGGATATCCGATGCAGGACGTGAAGGTCACACTCACGGGTGGTTCCTACCATCCAACGGATTCTTCGGAAGTAGCGTTTGAAGCGGCAGCAGTCTTGGCGTTTGAAAATGCGACCAGAAAGGCGAATCCTTTGTTGTTAGAACCAATTATGCGGATGCATATTACTGTTCCTGATGAGCATGTCGGCAAAGTCATTGGGGACCTGAATTCACGTCGGGCACAGATTAATGAGAGCACAACCCAAGATGCATCCGATACAGGACGTCCGTCGCAATCGACACAAATCGTCATCAATGCCTTTATTCCACTTTCAGAGACGTTTCAGTACACAACGCGGCTTCGCTCAATGACACAGGGACGTGGGGCATTTACGTTGGAATTTTCACACTATGAAGTCGTGCCGTCGGCTCTTGCTCCGGATGTAAGTCGTATCGGTTCGACTTAGCGTATCTCAACGTCCGTGTGCTTTTATCACCCTTTGCAGTTCCGCCAACGAAATAGCGTACATCGTTCTGCCGTTGCGTCCGGTGGTTGTGGTCGCCATTGTCATGGAATTGACGATAGCCTCCTCTGTGGCTTCAATAACTGCTTGAAAGAGTGAATTTAGCTGTCCGTTTACGAGCATTTGGATTTGGAAGGTGCCGGTTTCGGTCCGACTTGGAAAAATGTTCGCGGTGGAAAACGCGATGACGAATTCACCACTACCGTCAGTACTCGGCGTACCTGTGCGAGCAAGTCCATGCGTAGCGCGAATCGCTAACTGCCTCAATTGACGATGTGTCAGTGGGGCATCCGTTGCGATAACAATAATGAATGAGCCATCTCTACCGGGTTTCGGCGTGGACTCGATAATTTCCCTACCGACAGGGATGCCATCAATTCGGAGTTGTGAACGACGCCCCCCGTTGGAATTAACAAGGACACCTACTGTCCATCCACCGCGTTCTTCAGGTAGAACGCGAGAAGCGGTGCCAATACCGGCTTTGAAACCGTAACATCGCATGCCGGTGCCGCCGCCAACGCTTCCTTCGGTTACGGGACCGTCGGTGGCGTTCTCAATCGCTTCAATCGCATGTTGTGCTGTGACGTGGAGTCCGCTGATATCGTTCAAACCACCATCGTAGCACTCCGCCACAATTGGCAGCACAATGTTGTTGTCTGGATACCGTTTCACAATGTAACGCACAACACCGTCATGGACTGCCCCGATACTGAGTGTATTTGTGAGCAAAATGGGAGATTCAATCCACCCGGCTTGATTGATGCGGGCGATGCCGGTTGCTTCACCGTTGCCGTGAATGACATGTGCCGCGCCGAACAGGCGTGCTGTCCAAATATCATCACTCGGCAGGATGGCGGTAACACCCGTACGAATTGAATCGCCTTCGTTCAGAGTGACGTGTCCGACTTTCACACCCGCTACGTCGGTGATGGCATTGTGTGTGCCGGTTGGAATGGTACCGATCTGGATACCGATGTCGCGCGCTCGTGCGCGCACATCCGAGTGTGTCGATTCGACGTTTACGCTGTATATAGAACATGCCAAAAATGCACCTGTGAGAACGACGAGGAACAGCATTTTTGTGTAGTGTGAGGATCCGAGACCTTGCATCTTTTTAAGAAATTTCTTCATCCTCTAATTGATTCCTATAGATTACGCGAATGTGGTTAAAAATCGCGATGTATGTTGGTAACCGGTAATCGGGATAACTCCACTCCAACGGTTGGAACGTTTTGCGGTAGAAGCGGAGTGTAATTTCGGCATAAATACCATCGCTGAGGTAGATACGATGGGCATGGTTTTTCGTTGTCGCAAGCACCAGTTTTGCCAAGGAAATGTAACCCGCGTCCAAATTGACACGCCGCGCGTCTCCTTCGGACTTTTTTATAGCAAAAACTTGCTCCACGTTACTTGTGAACAACTTCATTTCTGCCAGCGTACCGGCATCGATAAGTCTTTCAAAACTGATAAATTGTCGTTGGACGTCTGGTCCCATTTCAGTCTCGTAGTGGGTTGTGCTCGTGAAAGGCATCAATTCACTTGTGTAATCAATGGGTCCGAGGCGATGTGTCAGTGCTGCATAAACGGTTGGTAGGAGACTGGGTTCCACTGTCAGCACGCCGATAATTGCTTTAACTGGTAGCGGTGTTGTGATTGCTCCCAAGTTATCCTCCATAGTCCAAAATCTATCGCATAACCTTAAAATCCACATCCTGATCCTTGAGAGTGTGAACTTCAATTTCATCGAGCGTAACGAATTGCGTTTAACGTATCAACGCTTCATTTATTGCGATAGAATTCTATAAAAATTGCGATTTTGGGGATCAGTATCCTACATTATCGCATTAAATTGCAAAAAAATGTGATTTTTTATTTTTTTTCTTGACATTCCGCGAAATATAATATATAATATTCTGTTATGCTATGTCACCGTATTCAGACGGAAAAAGCAGTTGAAGAAGCAGATTTTTTCAAAAGTCTGTTTGTAAACTGCGTAACCACCGCCAAGTAGGGAGACTTCATTCAGTGAACAAAAAGCCCAGCCAGCAAAATAAGAGAATTTCTTTTGCCAAAACGCAAGTTCGGATCCCGCTCCCGAACCTCATAGAGACCCAAAAACTGGCATATGATGCCTTCTTACAACGAAATGTCCCACCCAATGAACGTCCGGAGACTGGCCTCCAAGCGGTGTTTAAGGAAATATTTCCGATTCGCGACTTTTCGGAGGTTAACAGTCTTGAGTTTGTCAGTTACAGCCTTAGCGCACCGAAATATACTCTTCAAGAATGCGTCGCACGCGGTGTAACGTATCAGGTATCCCTCACTGCGCGTATTATGCTTGTCGTACGTGAGGCGGACGCAGATGCAGATGAACCTCATGTTGTAGATATCCGCGAATCTGATGTGTATCTCGGCGAAGTCCCGTTAATGACTGAGAATGGCAGCTTCATTGTCAATGGTAGTGAGCGTGTAATAGTGAGCCAGCTGCACCGTTCACCGGGCGTGATTTTTCTTGAAAAATCATTGCCGACGGGGCGGACACCGACTGCCCAAATTATCCCGTATCGAGGGGCATGGGTTGAATTTGAAATAGACACTAAAGATCAGATTTACGTCCGCATTGACAAGCGTAAAAAACTACCTGCTACTGTGCTACTTCGGGCACTCGGTTGGGAGTCGGACGCGGATATCCTGAAGCTTTACGCCAAAACGGAACGGCTTGTGCTTGCTGGATGGCAGGTTACCCATGCAGAAGGCCCAGCAAAACAACTCAAATCAGGTGATTTGTTAGATGCTGCGGATTTTCGACAAGCCAGCACGGATTACCCTGATCTTGAAGTAGAGAGATGTTATCGCGTTACGGAAGTAACTGATAAGAACTGCCCACTGGAAATTGGACAAGAACTTACATATAAGGATCGTACGAACCTTCGCAGAAAATGGAAGGGCTTTGAAACTGAACTTTTTCGGCGTGTTGTGGACACCCACAATAGTGGATGTGAACTCATTCCCGGACAAGTGCTAACGAATTCAGAATATGAGGGGGCGCGTGCCCGTTACGGAAGCAAAGCGTTCACAGCTGAACAGATTTTGTCCCAAGATAGTCAGGAAAGTGTCGGTAGAGTCTGTGCTGAAGACATTATCAACCCAGAGACTGGTGAAGTGCTCCTCACAGCGAATACGTTGCTGACTGAAACAGAACTGGAACGCCTCGGTGAGGCTGGCGTTGAGGCACTCACAGTACTGGATGCGGAGGATTGCCAGCACATCCGATTTTTACGTAATACGTTGGAGCGCGACCGACAGGCGGACTATGAGGAGCCATATACGCTAAAAGATGCCGCACTGCTTACAATTTTCCGCACGCTGAGACCCGGAGATCCCGCTGGTTTAGAGAACGCTCGTAAACACCTTTCATGGCTGCTCTTTGACGCACACCGATACGATTTAGGTGTGGTTGGACGGTACAAACTGAATCGAAAATTCCAGAATATTCCCGTTTATGGTGAGCCACCTGAAGAGACTTTGCGCACGCTCCGTCCCGAAGATATTGCCGCTACGGTAGATTATCTTCTTAAAGTCCACAACGGGATTGCTCCGAAAGACGATCTTGATCATCTCGGTAATCGCCGCGTGCGTGTTATCGGTGAGCTACTCGAAAACCAGTTCCGAATGGGTTTATTTCAGATTCGCAGAACCACGCGCGAACGCTTGAGCACCGACAACGATATTGCGAAGGTCGTCCCGTCTTCACTCGTAAACCCGAAACCGCTGATGATGGCACTCCGAGAATTCTTTGGATCGAACCAGCTGTCACAGTTTATGCAACAGATTAATCCGTTGGATGAATTGACGCACAAACGTCGTATCTCAGCGATTGGTCCAGGTGGACTTCACCGAGATAGGGCAACAGCAGCTGTTCGAGATGTGCATCGAACACACTATGGTCGTGTCTGCCCCTTGGAGACGCCTGAGGGTCCGTCAATCGGTCTCATCGTTTCTTTGGCGTGTTATGGGCGGATAAATCCTTACGGCTTTATAGAGACTCCTTATCATAGGGTTGATGAAGATGCGAAGTTAGGTCCAGTGGAATATCTCACAGCAGATAGTGAGGATACTGCGCACATTGCTGCAAGGGCGACTCAGCGCAATGGTAAACAAACTGGAGACGGTGATGCAGCCGCTTCTGAGCATCTGTTACCTGTCCGAAGTGGTGAGGATGTACTGTCGCTCCCGATGGAAAAAGTGGACTATATCGGAGTTTCCCCACAGCAGATAGTTGGCATTTCTGCTGCGCTTGTTCCGTTTCTGGAACACGAGGACGCAAACCGTGCGTTGATGGGTGCTAATCACCAACGTCAGGCAGTGCCACTTGTTCGTCCAGAAGCACCGCTTGTCGGAACGGGGATGGAAGCACCGGCTGCGCTGTATTCAGGCGCGCTCATCACCGCTAAGCGAGCCGGGACCGTCACAAGTGTTTCCGCCGATGAGATTCTCATATATACTGGCGAAACACTTCATCATGACCAGGGTGAGAATACGTTCAGCGAAATGGGCTACGATGTCTACAAGCTCCAGACATTCAAACGGAGTAACAGCGGCACCTGTATCCACCAGCACCCTATCGTGGCAGTGGGCGATATAGTTGAAGCCGAACAGGTTATTGTAGACGGTACATCTACAGAGAATGGTGAACTCGCTCTTGGGCGGAATGTGCTGTGTGCTTATATGCCGTGGGGTGGTCACAACTACGAGGACTCTATCCTGATAAGTGAAACACTCATCAAGGAGGATACCTTTACCTCTATCCACATTGAAGAATTTGAAGTGGAGGCACGTGAAACGAAAGTGGGCCCGGAGGAAATCACCCGTGATATTCCAAACGTTAGCGAGCAGCGACTCACACAACTTGATGAAGAGGGTATTATTCGCGTTGGAAGCGTTGTGGGTGCAGGAAGCATCCTCGTCGGAAAAATTACACCCAAAGGTGAAAGCGAATATGGTCCCGAAGAGAAGCTTTTACGCGCGATCTTTGGTGAAAAAGTCAAAGAAGTAAGGGATGCTTCGACTTATGTACGCCCCGGAGTTGAAGGTGTCGTCATTGATGTAAAAGTGTTTTCCCGTAAGCCGGATGGTGCCTCCCGTCGTGGAAGTTGGACACCAAGTGACTCAGGGTTATCGACGGCTGACAATTTGCGGTATGAATCGAAACGCAAGGAGATTGAGGAGACTTGGCGTGAGCAGATTGCTTCTATCCGTCGCCGAAAAATCGAAGAGACTCGCAACACACTCATCGGATGTGAACTTGCTGATTCGCTTTACATGGTTAATGGAACTAAAGGTGATGCTAACGCTAAACCCTTCGCTAATGCTGGTGATATCCTGACAGCTGGGGTTTTGGACGCTTATGTTTCCGGTTTCACTGCAGATGCGTACCACCTGGTAACCGAAGATGCAAACTCTGAAGCTTTTATCGCTGAAGCATGTTATAGGGTAACGGACGTACCTGAACTAATCCCTACTATTGTGGTTCATCCTTCGAATTCTTCAGCAGTGCCAGGATACCTTAGCGAAGTGTGCAAACCGATTTTGGGAAGTACTGAGCCATTCTTGCAGGAAGCGGAACCTAAGGAATCGGGGTTACAAACCCCTCCTACAGAAAATGCTGATGTTGTGCTTCACGGTTACGATAGCAGTGTGATTGCTATTGCTGTGTGTGAGGAATCGGGGTTACAAACCCCTCCTACAGATGATGACACTGAAAACGGGTATCATTCCGAGCATCTGATGGAGATGCTTGCTGCAGCAGGAGCACGATTTTGTGTATTGGTAACCGACGGTGAGTCAGAACCCGATAACTGGGATTTCTATGAACTCGTAGATTTGACCAGCGACTCGCCTCCGACACAAGACTCAGAAGCACGAGTCGCTGATCAAACTGTGTTGCAACCGTGTGCACGTTCTGAGTTTGAAATTGGAGTTACCGCAGAACTTGAAGCCACTGGTTGCCCTGTTGTTGAGACGCAGAGACTAAACGAGGAAGAATGGGCGAACTTCAGTCAGGCTTATCCCGGTTTACAAGCCGAATTATTCTGGCAAATTAAGGAAGTTTTTGATCCCACATGCCCAGTGACCGAAGGTCAAGAACTCTCCGACACCGATTATCTGCGAGTATCCAGAAATTATCCCGCACGTCCTATAGCAGTCGGGCAGCGGTTGACTGCGGATGAACTGGCATCACTCAACCGGACCATCAAGGATTTGAAAGCCGACGCCGTCTGGCACATTACCGCTGTTTTTGACCCGGCGTGTACACTGTCTGTTGGAGAACATGTTTCTGATGCTGACTATCAACAGGCGCGTAAATCATGTAGCCTGACTTTTTCAGACATCCATGTTCCCAATGCCAATGCCAGAGAGCATATCCAGCGTGTTGAAGAGATGGCGCAAGGCAGGATAACCACTTACACTGAGGAGAAAGAACGAGCACTTCAGCAGTTAGAGATGGGTGATGAACTGAAACCAGGAGTCATCAAACGCGTCAAAGTCTATGTCGCAAGCAAGCGCCCGATTTCTGTCGGCGATAAGATGGCAGGTCGCTACGGCAACAAAGGTGTTATTGCCAAAATTTTGCCTGCTGAGGATATGCCCTATCTCCCGGATGGCACCCCGGTTGAGTTGGTACTGAACCCGTTAGGTGTGCCTTCTCGAATGAACGTCGGTCAAATCTTGGAAATTCACCTCGGATGGGCATGTCATGAACTCGGTATCCGAGTGGCGACCCCTGTATTTGATGGTGCAACAGAGGGCGAAATCTTTGAGATGCTCGGTAAGACCGATCTCCCGAAACGCAGTAAACAGTCCGGTAAAAGCATCCTTTTTGATGGTAGAACTGGTGATCCGTTTGCACAGGAAGTAACGGTGGGTTACGTCTATTTCCTCAAACTGAACCACCTTGTTGCTGATAAAATGCATGCTCGCTCAACAGGACCTTATTCTCTTGTTACACAGCAACCGTTGGGTGGCAAGGCACAACACGGGGGTCAACGACTCGGCGAGATGGAGGTCTGGGCATTGGAGGCTTATGGTGCAGCACATACGCTCCAAGAAATGCTCACGCTCAAATCAGATGACGTTCTTGGCAGAAGAGAGATTTACGAGTCGGTTGTGAAAGGGTTAAACCCTGAACCGCCCGGTACACCGGAATCATTCAAAGTTTTGGTCCGCGAACTCCAAACCCTTGGGCTTTATGTATCCCTCGACAAGGATGAAGACTGCTTACTTCAGCCTTCGAGCCATTCGGTAATCATCTTTGAAGTGTGTTTCTCAAATCCGCCTGCGCCGTTGTTGCAGGCTACCGGTTTCGTTTAATGTTTCCACCAAAGTCCTCAAGCAGAGTTGAGATGTAACCAGAAACCTGCGCGTAACGTAGTGGAGCGCAGCCCAGGAGGTCATAGTTAAAAAAATGAACACGGCATTTGACAGCATCTCCATAAAGATAGCCTCGCCCGATCAGATTAAAGATGAGTCGAAGAAGACCAGTTGCAAACGTCGGAATCCCGCCCAAGCAGTGGATGACTCTTTTATCTGCCCCGAGAAAGGGACATGTAGTTGTGGCGAGGTCAAGAAGGCGGAGACTATTAACTACCGCTCCTTTCGTCCTGAACCGGAGGGTCTCTTCTGTGAGGCTATCTTTGGACCACAAAAGGACTGGGAGTGTAACTGTGGTAAGTATAAACGGATTAAACACAAAGGGTTGATATGTGACCGCTGTGGTGTTGAAATCACACAACAGCGCGTTCGCAGAGATAGGCTCGGATATATCCAGCTTGCCGCACCTGTCTCTCATATATGGTACTTCAAAGGAATTCCTTCTCGCATCGGCACTTTCTGTGAACTCTCCTCACGCGATGTTGAACGTGTGCTCTATTTTGAGGGGTTTATCGTCGTTGAAGTGACTGACCCAGATTGTCCTCTTGAACGTGGGCAGGTGTTAACCGAGATCGAGTACATAGAACACAGCAACAAGTACCGGGATGGGTCCCGGGATGGGTTTCGTGCTGGCACCGGCGCAGAAGTCATTCGCGAATTATTGAGCGATATTGATCTTGAGGCGGAGATAGAGAAGTTAACCACGGAGTTGGAAGAAACAACGAGCCAGCAGAAGAAACTTAAAATCGCCAAGCAACTGAAACAGATGGCTGACTTTGCAGAAGTTGGGCAGCGACCCGAGTGGATGATTTTGGATGTTATTCCTGTCATTCCACCGGATTTACGACCTCTTGTTCCGCTGGAAGGCGGACGTTTTGCTACCAGTGACCTGAACGATCTGTATCGCCGTGTTATCAATCGGAACAACCGACTGCGGAAATTGATACAGCTCCGCTCCCCAGAAGTTATTCTGCGGAACGAAAAACGGATGTTACAGGAAGCAGTTGATGCATTCTTTGATAATGGGCGCCACGGTAGGCGTGTCACCGGTCCGGGAAACCGTCCCCTTAAATCTCTTGCTGATGTTCTCAAGGGCAAAATCGGGCGGTTCCGTCAGAATCTACTCGGTAAGCGGGTTGACTACTCTGGGCGTAGCGTCATCGTTGTTGGACCTGAATTGGGATTGCATCAATGTGGAATTCCCAAGCGGATGGCTGTAGAGTTGTTTAAGCCGTTCATTATCGAACGACTTCAAGCGTATGGCCATACGCAGACAATTAAGCGAGCGAAGCATCTTGCTGAACACGTTGATTCCGATTCACCTGTATGGGAAGTCGTAGAGGAAGTGATCGCTGATCATCCAGTCTTACTTAATCGTCCACCGACGTTGCACCGACTCGGTATTCAAGCGTTTTTACCTGTTTTGGTAGAAGGCAAATCGATCAGAATTCCGCCCCTCGTCTGTAAGGCATTCAACGCCGATTTTGATGGGGACCAGATGGCTGTCCATGTACCCCTCACGGTAGAAGCACAGGCTGAGGCGAAACTTCTGATGCTCAGTAGTCATAACATTCTCAAACCCTCACATGGCGATCCTATCGCTGTTCCGGAACTCGACATGGTACTCGGATCCAGTTTCCTGACAAAGGAGTTACCAGAGCACGCTGCAGACGCAGCACTTCTGCATGATGCTTATACAACAAGCGATCCTTCTGCTTTTGATGCACTCCGTGAAAAACTGTGGTGCCATCGTCGCTACGCGCAGCCCGAAGAGGTTATTACCGCTCATGTGGCGGGTCAACTTAAACTGCACGACAGCATCCAGCTCTTCCGTGCATCTAATGGGGATGATGGGAAAACCGCGGAGCCGATTCTAACGACAGTGGGCAGGGTTATCTTTAACCAAGTACTGCCGCCTGGTTTAGAGTGGGAGGATGAAAATTCCCAGCAGCGTCTTCCGTACCTCAACGCTGAAGCTGACGGCAGACAACTGTCTAACCTGATCCATCGTTGTTTCAACGAATTGGGCACGCGCACCACAACTGAAGTGCTTGAGAAAGTACAGAAACTCGCTTTCGAGTATGCAACGCTGAGTGGCATTTCGCCCGGTATCATGGACTACATTACCCCTGACAATCGCGATACCTTGGTGAGCAAAGCACAGACAGAAATTGATGCCCTCCTTAGCAATGTCTCGGTGAGCGAGCGCGAAGAACATGAAAACGAGCAGATTCGTATCTGGTTGAATGCGATTACAGCAGTTGAGCACACGATGTTCTCAATTTTGCCCGAGTTAGAGACAGCTCTCGTTGAGCGCGGCGACTCTCGAAGGGTTCATCCGTATGTCGATCCCGATGGGTTGGAGGTCAGCGACAAAACAGTAGTGGGCTTCAGCCCGGTTCATATCATGGCGGATAGTGGCGCACGAGCACGGAAGAATCCATTTATGCAAATCAGTGCCATTATCGGGTTGAAAGCTAAGCAGAGCGGTGAAATTCTCATTCCGCCGATTACCACCTCTTATCGTGATGGTCTGGATGTACTTGACTACTTCAACTCTACTTATGGATCCCGTAAAGGTTTGGTGGATACCGCGATGAAAACCGCCGCGTCCGGTTACCTCACACGGAAACTCGTGGATGTTGCGCAAGATGTCCGTATTACCACTGAAGACTGCGGCACTCTTAATAGCATTCAAAAGTTTGCGACAGATGGAGGCGACCTTGCTTTTAAGATTAGCGGACGCACTGCCGCCGAAGAAATTCTCAACCCAGAGAACGGGGATCTGCTTGTTCCGTCGGGTACTGTCATATCCGCGCAGATGTCGGAGCAAATTGATGCACTTGGCATAAGAATAGCGAAAGTGCGCTCTGTGCTCACGTGTCAAACCGATGATGGCGTCTGCGCAAAATGTTATGGTAACGATTTGACGACGAATCACCTCGTCAATGTTGGTGAAGCGGTCGGTATCATTGCTGCGCAATCTATCGGTGAACCCGGCACGCAGCTTACCATGAGAACGTTCCACACTGGTGGTGCTGTTGAGGACGTTTCGGAAGCGCGTCAACGCAGAATTCTGTCTAAAGCCAGCGGCACCGTGCGTTTCCGTGATTTCCAACCCGGACGGACAGTCAAAAAAGACGGAGAACTCTGGGTAGCTACCGAAAACAGAGCAAACCTTGATGGTCCTGCCTATAAAGTCCAACAAGTCAATCACCCCGATTGTCAATTGCGTGAAGGTGAACTGCTCAGTGAGAAGCAGTATGTGGAAAACACAGAGCGCTATAAAGGCTTTGATACTAAAACGTGGCAGTATCAAGTCACAGCTGTCTTGGATAGCGGCTGTGATTTGAAGGTGTGGGACCGGCTGTCTCAGGCAGAATACGCCAGGGCACAGATAGAATATGGCTTTCAGCGATTTGTGATCCCAAAATACCGAGTGACGCGGGTGCAACATCCTAAGCTTTCATTGACTGTTGGCACCGAACTCACTGAAGAAAAGATAGAGCAATTGAGAGATGATATCCGGCAAGGGATTAACGGGGAATGGCATTACTTAGATGCAGAAACAGGCGAGCGTATTGCTGTTGAAAGCCTTACAGCAGTTTCAGGCAATGCTTCTTCTGAACGTACTAACGGCTCCGCTGATAGTCCGGATACTGCAAATGCATCTGGGCGAGATGCAAGTTTTAATCGTGTGTATTGTATAACCGAGATAGACAAGCAGACAAGCAAAGACTTCGGATTTAAGGTAGGAGACGAAGTTGCCCCAGAGGAAATTGCTCCGTTGCTGAGTCCATTTGAAGTGGACACAAAGCCCGTTTACGTTGTACATACAGCGGTTGATGAATTTACGGTTGATCAGACATTAACGGCCCGTGAGTACGAGGATGCTCGCACAGAGTATCAACATCTTGAACACGCATTTAAAGTTGAAAAACAGGATGTTGAACGGCACTATGTGACGGCTGTGTATCATCCCGACTGTCCACTTAAAGAAGGCGAAGAAGTAAGCGAGCCAGCCTTAACCCGAGCACACAGACGGTTTACAGGTTTCGATGCCCAAAGGCTGCGACACCGTATAACACAGGTTCATCACCCTGACTGTCCGCTCAAGCAGGGCGATCTGATTAGCGAGAGTGAGGTAAAACAGCTCAATGAGCGCTACCCTGGGTTCGTCACTTCCCAAAGTAAGAGCACCGCGGGTGGCTTTAAAGCAGAACGCATGTACCGTGTTACATCGGTCAATCATTCTGACTGTCCATTAGAAGTTGGTGGACTCTTGACGCAAAAGGAATCATCCGCAAGCCGCCGACACTACAAGGGCCTTGAAGTCGCACGTCATTATGAAGTGACGCATATCGAAGATGGAACGACAGCGTTAAGTGCCGGTCAGCGTCTCACCGAGATCGAGTATAAGGCACTCCGCAAGACGGACGCTTCGTTACCTGAGAAAGTCAAGGCACTATACCATGTCGTTAGCGTCCATCACCCTGAATTGGACCTGGAGGTTGATACTGAACTGAGTGAAGAGGAATATAAGACGTATCATCGCCAGTTCAAAGGGTTTGATGTTGAGCTGGTTTACCAGATAACTGAGGATAAGCGGGATGTTGATGAACGACTTGAGGTTGGGACTATTCTACCCTCGAAGGAATACCGGGTTCTTGACAAGGCAAACTTACGGGTGACCCATACCGTCACCGAGGTCCATCATCCGCATTGCAAGTCCGCTGTCGGCGATGAATTGCCAGAGGAAGTGTACAATGAAGCAGCGGGGCGGTTTCGCGGATTCGAGGTCGATGAATTGTCATTGCGGATACGTATTGAGGTAGAAACAGCGGATGGGAATCGGGTACCGCATGTCATTCCTACGGGTTATTCCTTCTCTTTGGCAGAGGGTGATAGTATCCGGAAGGCAGAAACGCTGGCAGAACTCCATGAGAGGACAGCGAACCTTGACATTGTTGCTGGTATTCCGCGTGTCACTGAATTGTTTGAAGCGCGCCGCCCGAAACGCGGTGAAGCCGCAGAAATCGCTGAAATTGAAGGTTACGTCCAATCGGCAGGCATGAAGTCAGGTATTCCTACCTACCGCATTGAGCACGAGGGATATCAGAGTCGCCTCTATCAGATACCTGATGAGAAGCGACGCGTCGCTGAAGGCGATTGGGTGGATGCCGGCGAACCACTCACCGATGGTTATCTCAATCCGCACGATATTTTGAGTATCGGACGTACGACTATTGAAGGTATCTCGGTTGAGGGTGAAGAGGCGGTTTGGTCATATCTCGTCGATGAAGTCCAGAAAGTCTACGGCAAGGAAACTATCAACGATAAACACGTTGAGACGATAGTCCGACAGATGTTGACCAAAATTCGCATCACCGAGCCGGGCGACACAAACTTCTACCCGAATGATGAAGTGCAACGCAGGCAATTTGAACGCGTTAACAGTGAGATTGAGGAAAAAGATGGCACGGCTGCCTCGGGTGAGCCGATTCTCCAGAGCATAAGTAAAGCCTCCCTGAGTACTGATAGCTTCATCTCAGCTGCATCCTTCCAGCAGACGACAAAGGTGCTAACAGATGCTGCTGTCAGTGGGCAAACCGATAGACTCTTCGGGCTGAAGGAAAACGTTATTCTCGGTAGACTTATACCAGCCGGAAGTGGATTCTCCAATTTCCAAGACTTAGAGATATCCTCCATTGAACCAGAAATAAGCGAAACTGGCGATGATGATTAAATAATATAGGGCGGGTATCCTTACCCGCCCTAATTTTTTTATTACTGCCTTACTTACCCTAAATTCGGTCGCGTCATATCCCCTGGCAAAACAAGTTCATCAAACGCCTCACCTGTTAGGACCTCAAGGGCAATAGCTGCCTCGCGCAGTGTGCTTCCGTGTTCATGCGCATATCGCGCAACTTTTGCTGCCTTATCATATCCAATATGCGGGGTCAACGCCGTCACAAGCATCAGTGATTCCGAGAGGTGCCGCCCTATCGTTTCAGTATTCGGCACGATCCCTTCGACACAATTCTCGCGGAATGACTCACACGCATCGCCGAGGAGTTGTATAGACTGTAAAGCGTTATAGGCAATCACAGGCATAAACACATTCAGTTGCAATGCCCCATTCGCCCCCGCGAATGCCAAGGTTGTATCATTTCCCATCACCTGTGCACACACCATCGTAACGGCTTCACATTGTGTTGGGTTCACCTTTCCCGGCATAATCGAGCTTCCGGGTTCCATCTCAGGTAACTGCAATTCACCGAGTCCACACCGTGGTCCCGAGGCGAGCCATCTGATGTCGTTTGCTATCTTAAATAGGGCAAACGGCGAGTGTTTTCAGGGCACCGCTTGCACTCACAACAGCATCCCGACATGCGAGTGCTTCAAATGCGTTCGGTGCGCGTTTGAGCGCATAGCCTGTTGTTTCCGAAAGCCTTGCCACAACCCGTACTGTATAGTCCGGATGCGTGTTCAGCCCGGTCCCGACAGCTGTTCCGCCAATTGGGAGCTCAGAGAGATGCGGCAGCGAGGCATTGATACGTTGTACTGCAGCAGCGAGTTGTTGTGTGTAAGCACTAAATTCCTGTCCGAGTGTGAGGGGTGTCGCATCCATCAAATGTGTTCGCCCAATCTTAACAATCTCCGCAAATGCGGATGCCTTTTCTGCAAATGCCGCTTGCAGTGCGCTCAGACGCGGTAAGAGATGCTCTTGGATCTGTCGGACCATTGCCAAATGGATAGCGGTCGGGAAGACATCGTTCGTGGATTGGGACTTGTTGACGTGGTCGTTCGGATGGATCGGATCTTTACTGCCCAACTTACCGCCAAGCATCTCAATTGCTCGATTCGAGATGACTTCATTGACATTCATGTTTGTTTGGGTTCCACTGCCTGTCTGCCAGATGCGGAGTGGGAAGTGATCGTCTAATGTTCCATCGATAACTTCTTCTGCTGCGTCGCTGATTGCTTCAGCAAGCCGATCTTCAAGCAAACCGAGGTCTGCGTTGACGTGTGCGACCGCCTGTTTGATGGTGCCGAGTGCCCATATCGCGGCACGTGGTAAGCGTTCTTCACCAATCTTAAAATTTTGGAGCGCACGTTGTGTTTGTGCCCCCCAATACCGGTCGTCTGGGACGTGAAGTGTCCCCATACTATCTGTTTCCGTTCGCATTTTTTAATTTTTCCTTGCGGTTCGGTGAGGGTGGTTGGGTCAATAACGTCCCTTTTCGTAGACCCGCCTGCGCCGTTGTTGCAGGCTACGTTTTTTTAATTAAGAAAAGACACCTCGCCACACGCCTCCCTCGCCTCCTTTCAATTTTAATTTTAGTATTATACCACATAAAAACGAAGGTGTCAAAAAACAACCGTAACGCGGATCAATTCGTCCACTAAAAATTTGCTATTTCCTTTTAGACATGGTATAGTTAAAGAATAGGCAAGTCGTTCCAATTATGTCTGAGGGCTTTGATAGGAACGTTAAACAAAACCGGTAGCCTGCAACAACGGCGCAGGCGGATATCAGAAACGCACTTCAAAAGATAGAATGACCGCCATTCCTCCGCAAGGGATAATTAAAAAGTAGCCTGCAACAACGGCGCAGGCGGGTCTACGCAGAGGCACCTCAGTCATCAAACCTAGCTGACCGAACCGCAAGGAAAAATTAAAAAATCCGCAAGGTATAATTTAAAAAATGGATTCAACATTAACCAATCCGTATCTGACAAATGCTTTAACAGCACCGCCACCGCAAAGTTATCGCTACGAACGTTGGCGAGAACGAGGGTATCATCCCGACCTATCTCCGATTTCGCCGGACAGCGAATGTGGGACGCTGATAGGACAGATGGGCTGGGTCGGCGCGCATGCACACGCTCACGAATACTTGTGGGCGACTGCTGGCAACATGGGCGCAGTTTTAGCTGAAACGGTTCAGGATGCCTGTCTCATCCCTTACAACGCATCCCCGCGTTATCAATTACCACCACAGATTGTTGTTAAAGGTTTGGCTGGACGACACGTCCTGCTCACAAAGTCGGGTTCACGTTTGGATATGATTGGTATTGAACACCCTGCTCTCAATTTAACACTCATTGAAGTTGAACCTGATGGTGTGCATTATCGTATGCGCTTCGGCACGCCGGACCAGGCGACCTTAGATTTAAATCGGGACGGTATCGCGCCACCAGCACCGACAAGTGAGATGTTCCACTACCTTCTTATTTTTGAGCAGTTAGAAGGACTCGGGTTTAATGCGCTTGTGCACTTGCAACCGAAGTTTTTGAATCTAATTTCTCGTACAGAACACGGTGCGCCGGATCGGTTTTACAACTTCCTCAGAGGATATGAACCGGAAACGCCTATTATATACGATGAATCCAGTGGTATCGGGTTCGTGGAAGAGAAGGCACCTGGCATCCCAGAATTATCTTATGAGAGTTTACGCCTTTTCCAGAATGGTGGGAATGCGGAGCGGCATATTCTTTATTGGGTAGGGCACGGAACGTTTTCGCGCGGTAAAGATCTCCTTGATGCTTACAAACACGCAGAATACTTTGAAGCCGCAGCACGGATGGCATGGGAAGCAAATCAACAACGTGTTGATGCCCAAGCCTATACGGAGGAGATAGTCAGTTGTATCTTACGCGAATTTAACGCGAATCGTGAGGCATCTGTCCAACCAGATACTGGTTTTGAGGATGTCAATACACCGGTGCAATCTGACAACGTCTATAATTATCCGTAAGCTTATTTTAGCGATAAGGTTCGCACCCGCTTCGACAGAACAGGCGCATTCTTATACCAATTCTGATTGACGATTTCTCTTAAAAGGGTCTACTGTTTTTGGTGATGCCCGGTGCGGTTAGGAAACCGCACCTACCGGGTCTGGGTGGACGGTGCAGTTAATCCGATATAAACTTTTAGAAATGGTATTAGATACGGAGGAATAACATACATGCAAGATCCAATAGATGTCCAAGACTTGGAGCATGACAGTGTGGAAACTGAGACAGAGCCAGCGCGAGATCAACTGGAGGCACACCTCCGTGACAGCATAGTCGGCAGGTATATCAGGAGTTACAACAAGCGCTTGCGCACTCTCAACCAAGCATTAGAGGACACACGACAGCAGGTTGATGACAAACTCACTCGTATAGATCGACACGTTTCCCAGGAAATAGCAGAGGTCAAAACTGATATTCGTAGTCTTTCCGCCAAACCTGGGGGCGAAGATTTAGGGTTAACGTTAGAAAAAATTGAGGGACTCATCGACGCGAAGCTTGATGCAAGGCTTGATGGGGTTACTGCACGCGGCGAGGCGGATCTCCAGAAATTGTCAACACTCATAAACGATTTCGCCAGCGAGTTCCAGAAGCAAATTGATCGGCTCACCAGTGAAGTGAAACTCTTGCGAGAGCAAGCGCGCCGAAATCAGGAGTCTCTACGCACAGAGTTAGTTTCTGAAACCGAAACGCTTGAAACTACTAAAGTCGATCGGTTAACCTTAGCCGAAACCCTCATTATGCTCGGGATGAAATTGAAAGACGATGACTTGCTGGATGAATTCGGAATAAATTTGGACCTCGATGAAGTCGTAGATGGAAACGCAGAAAATGACGAAAGTTAGATATACTGTTATAGCCATTCTTATGACGATCTTCGCTGGAATTACCGGGCGAATCGAAGCGGATGAATCAGTTGTCTCGGGCGAGATTTCAGTTCTTGTTGTTGGTGATATTACTATCGGTAGCCGAATGACACCGTTGATTGAAAGCAAAGGTGCTGGTGTGTTTTTTCAGGGAACTACTGACCTGATTCAATCTGCGGATGTCGCGACCGCCTCCCTAAACACAAGCATATCGGAAAGAGGCGAACCGCGGTATGGGATTGAACACCCTTTTCGGGCGGCACCGGGGCTCGGCAGAGCCATCGCAAATGCAGGATTTGATGCCGTCTCCTTAGCCACGCCACATGTAATGGACTTCGGTTTGGAGGCGTTGGAGGATACGATCACAGAACTGGAGCGGTATGATGTCAAACCGATCGGTGCTGGTACGAGTGTGGAAACAGCGAAACTTCCGGCATGGGTGCCAGTCAGGCTGAGTGAAACCGAGACTGCACAGGTTGCGTTGTTAGCCTATTACCGAGCGAATGAATTCGCACGCTACACCGAGGATCCGCTTGCTTATGCCGTTTATAGTGAGATGACAAATGCTGTCGAGCAGATACGGACGACAGCGGCACTCGTGGTTGTCTGGTTACACTGGGGAGGCAAAAGTCGTTCTATGGATGAGGCAATCGGACGACAGCGGATTTTTGCCCATACCCTCATCGACGCAGGGGCGGACATGGTGGTATGTCAACAACTTCATACGTATGGTGGTATTGAGTTGTATCAGGGCAAACCGATTGTTTACAGCCTCTCAGATTTTATCTATGATGCTTACGATAAACAGCACTCGCACATAGTTATCCCGAAAGCAACGTTTGACGCTAAGGAAACCCTGAAATCAATTGAGTTAATTCCGATTTTGACGGATCCGCCGAAGACCCCGGTCCGCCCTGGAAAACCTACGGAAAGTAAGGGCGAGGTAACCTCGCCCCTACAAGTTGAGGTTCCGTTCCCCAGTATCTTAACCGGAAAGGCGGCGGTAGACACTTTACAGAACTATCAGCGACGTTGCGCAGAATTGGAGACGGAGGTGTTCATAGAAGGCGAACGCGGATGGATTCGATTTTTTAACTATTAAGTCTAAGGCATAAGCCCGTAACATTGTCCCGCAAGCCTATAGAGGCTTACGCTAGGAGGGCGACCCTAGATAGAGGCACTTCAAGTTCCAAACTCACGTTGTTTAACCGCAAGGAAAGTTAGAAAAACGGAGTAGGAGCAAAATTAAGATATGACAGGCAATACGGGGAATGTAGAGCGCAGCTTCTTCAGAGGTGAACGTGGGTTAACGCCTAAAGCATTTCTCATCGCCATGCTTCTGATTCCTCTTAACGTTTTCTGGATTATTGAGCTGGAGGTTGTCCGTTATACACATCCGACGCTAATTCATCCGTTGTCCAATGTCATCTTTATAATCTTTTGGCTGATGATGTTCAGTGCAGTGTTGGGAAAATTGTCTCCAAAACTGCGGTTGACACCGGCGGAGTTGCTCACAGTCTATGTCATGTTGTGTATTGTTTCTTCGCTCTGTTCGCACGATATGATGGAAATCCTTGTCACTATCCTCGGGCACCCATTTCGGTTCGCAACGTCCGAGAATGAATGGCAACAGCTTTTTTGGAAGGAACTTCCGACATGGCTAACCGTTCAAGACGCCAGCGTCTTGTCGGGATATTATGACGGGCAATCCAGTCTTTACCGAGAAGCACACCTTACCGCTTGGGCGGTTCCTGTGGTGTGGTGGACATTTTTATCCTTGTGTTGATGTTTGTTATGCTGTGTATCAACACGCTGCTCCGTATCCAATGGACTGAGCGAGAACGACTCACTTATCCGATTATTCAACTTCCGCTCGCGATGACGGAGCCGAATACAAGTTTTTTCAAAAATAAGTTGATGTGGTTGGGGTTCAGTATCGCCGCAGCTATTAGCATCCTAAACTTACTGAATTCAATTTATCCAGCGGTTCCGTATCTACCCGTTAAACGGCAAAACATCCATCAGTACTTCACCGGTCGTCCTTGGAATGCGATGGGGGGTGTGCGTCTCTCATTTTATCCTTTTGCAATTGGGATTAGTTTCCTGATTCCACTGGACCTGCTTTTTTCGTGTTGGGTGTTCTATTGGGTGTACAAATTTGAGTTAATGGCAGGTAGCATTCTTGGGGTACGGAATTTACCGGGCTTTCCTTATGCGGATGCCCAGAGTTTCGGGGCGTATATGGTGCTTCTCGGGACCGCTGTATGGGTTGGAAAAACGCACATCAAACGGGTTTTTACCGGGGTCGTAGATGGATTCCGAGGCACGTCCGAGATGGATATGCAGCGTGAGCCGATGCCTTACCACATTGCTTTCATCGGCATTGTGAGCGGGATGCTGTTTTTGACCGTGTTCTCCTATAAAGCAGGGATGTCTCTTTGGGTAATTCCGATCTTTTTCGGGCTCTACTTTCTGCTCGCGACGATGATTGCCCGACTTCGGGCGGAATTGGGATTTTTAGTCCACGATTTGCACAGAGTCGATCCACATGGGTTAATCGTGACAGCATTCGGCACCCAGCGTTTGACGACGAGTACAAAAACGGTTTTTTCGTTATACATGTTCTTTAATCGAGCCTATCGGGCACACCCGATGCCGCAAGAATTGGAAGCGTTGAAAATTTCAGAGCGGCGACATATCCGTCCACAGCATACCGCCGCTGCAATTCTCATTGCGACCCTCGTCGGTGTAATCGTTATATTCTGGTTACTTTTAGATAGTTACTACAGACATGGGGCAGAAACAGGCTATTACGGTCCTTGGGCATTAGGGTTCGGTAGAGGCGTTTACCGACAACTTGAAAATTGGTTAAATTATCCACAAGGCACGGATATCCCCGCCCTCGCTTTTATGGGGGGTGGTGCAGGTGTCGCGCTCGGGCTAATGCTATTGCGAACCCGTTTTCTCTGGTGGCCCCTGCATCCACTCGGCTATGCCATGGCAAATAGTTGGGGCATGTCCAACCTCTGGAGTTGCCTCTTCGTCGCATGGATAGCGAAGGCAGTTGTATTGCATCAAGGAGGGCTCAAAGCCTACAGACGGATGGTGCCGCTCTTCCTCGGACTTGCCCTCGGGGACTACATAAGTGGAAGTTTGTGGAGCATCGGTAGCATTCTCGCAAATACCACGCTGTATCAATTCTGGCCCTGATGTATGTCCAACGGTGTTCCGTTATCTATTCCTTACCATGGAATGATATAGACGCTGTATATTTATAGGGGACCGATATTCGATCCAAAAGGGTTATTGTACCAAAGTACCGTCGTAAAAAACATCTGAAATCGCCATTACCTTCAAGAGGAAGAAACCACATCAGAAACTGACGGTTAACCCAGCAAATCAATCATGGCGACACATCTATTTTACAAAGGAGAAAGAAACATGGAAACCAAAGAGAGAGAAGAGGAAAACAGAGACAAGAATACCACTGAAGAAAAACTTGTACAGGAACTCCCACTCCTCCCCTTAGATGACCTTGTCGTCTTTCCGTATATGCCGCCGGTGCCACCATTTCCGCCACATCACGTCGCACTCTCCGGAAAAATGGCAACTGCAGCGGTTGAATACGCTATGAAGAATGAGAGAGTGCTTTGCATTTTTCGCCCGAAAAAGGATCTCTCTAAAGAGGATATTAAGGATCTTAAAAAGAGTAACCTCAGTCCGATCGGGAGCTTGATACACATCCTCCGCTACAAAACTGACGATGAGGATGTGTTGTTTCTTGCACATGGACGCGAACGCGTCCAAATCGAGGAGATTTTGCACACAGAACCTTTCGTCAAGGTTCGGGTTAATGTTGTGAGTAGTGATAATGAGGATCCTATTGGTAACCCAGAAATGGACTTGGAGGTGGAGGCACTCGTCCGCAGCAACGATGAAATGTTTCAGCGCATTGTGCAGATGTCAACGCGCTACCAAGAGGAATACGGCAGTCTAACCAAGACAATGATTGATGAACCGGGTCGTCTCGCCGACTACATCGCTGCTATGTTGGATTTAAAGCCGAACGACAAACAGCGCATTTTGGAGGCGGTATCTATCCATGAACGGTTGAATACACTCGCCGTCATACTCGCGAAAGAACTCGATCTCCATGAATTAGAAAGCAAAATCCAAAATAACGCGCAAGCCGTCATTAACAAAGGACAGCGTGAATACTATCTCAAGGAACAACTCAAAGCAATTCAGACCGAACTTGGTGAATCGGATGACCTCGGACTTGAAATTGATGAGATGCGGGAGCAACTGAAAGAAATTGAAATGCCCGATAAAGCGAAGCAAGCAGCGGAAAAAGAACTGAAACGACTTTCTAAAATGCAGTCTTTCTCGCCTGAATCAACTGTTTCTCGAAACTATATGGATTGGCTGTTAAATCTTCCTTGGTGTGTCAGCACAGAAGATGCTTTAGATCTCACCGCGGCACAAGAGATCCTTGATACAGATCACTACGATTTGGAAAAAGTCAAAGAGCGGATTTTGGAGTATCTTGCTGTCCGCATGCTCAAAGCCGATATGAAGGGACCCATCTTCTGTTTCGTTGGCCCGCCCGGTGTCGGAAAAACCTCCCTCGGTAGGTCTATCGCACGCGCAATGAACCGAAAATTTGTACGTATCTCGTTAGGCGGTATGCACGATGAAGCCGAAATTCGCGGACATCGACGCACTTACATCGGTTCAATGCCGGGGCGAATCCTCAAAGGGATCCGACAGGCTGAGTCGAACAATCCTGTCTTTATGCTTGATGAGATTGACAAACTCGGCTCTGATTTTCGGGGTGACCCTGCTTCCGCACTTCTGGAAGTCCTTGATCCGGAACAGAATCACTCATTTACGGACAACTATCTTGATGTCCCGTTTAATCTTTCAAAGGTGATGTTTGTCACGACAGCAAATCAACTCCACACCATTCCACCGGCCTTACGTGACCGGATGGAGACTATAGAACTTCCCGGCTACACTGCTAACGAGAAGCAGATTATCGCCAAACAGTATCTGATACCGCGTCAATTGAAAGAGAATGGATTGGACGATGAGTTGATTAAGATCAAGGATACCGCAATTGACAAAGTAATCAGCGAGTATACTCGCGAGGCGGGTGTGCGAAATTTAGAGCGAGAACTCGGTACCCTCTGCCGAAAAGTCGCACGTCGTGTTGCCGAGGGGAATACCGAGCCAACAACCATCACGACGAAGGACATCCAAGGGTATTTGGGACCAGAAAAGTTCGAGTCTGAAATCGCGAGTCGTAAAGCCGACATCGGTGTTGTGACGGGGCTTTCTGTCACACCTGCAGGTGGTGAGATTCTCTTCATTGAGGTAGCTGCTATCAAGAAGGCCAATACCCGTACGGAACTTCATATTACCGGCCAGATCGGCGAAGTCATGCGGGAATCCGCACAGGCAGCCCTCAGTTACGTCAAATCTCAGGCTAAGGAACTTAAGTTTGATCCGAATGTATTAGAAAGCGACATCCATATCCATGTGCCAGCAGGAGCAATCCCTAAGGACGGTCCTTCGGCTGGTATTACAATCGCGACTGCACTCGCTTCAATTGCCACACAGCAACATATCAGTCCTGAAATCGCTATGACAGGTGAACTTACGCTCAGGGGAAGGGTGCTACCTATCGGCGGCGTGAAGGAAAAAATCCTTGCCGCGAAGCAAGCGGGCATCAAGAAAGTCATCATGCCAGAAGGCAACAAAAAACACTTTATTGAAGTCCCGAAAGATATTCAAGCCGGTGTTGAGTTTCTATTCGTAGAACATGTAACCGAAGTTTTCACGGAGGTATTCTCATGAGACACATATTGAGGAACACAGCGCGTGGTCAACCCGTTTCGCGCTTAATCCGTCGGTTTACTATACTTGCTGTCGCGTTCTTGTTTGTAATACCATTCACGGGTCATACAAACACGACCCACAGCACAAATCCCGTGCCCACAACCGCCTCCTCTGGAACTGGTGAAGTTGACGAACCAGAACCTGCTGTTAAGTTTTTGAAAGATGTCGCACCTATACTTGATAAGCATGGGTGTTCAGCCGGTATGTGCCACGGGAAATTTGGCGGACAGGGTGGGTTAAATCTCTCTCTGTTAACCTTAAACCCAGAATCAGATTATGAACCGATCGTCCACCACAGTCGCGGCAGACGCATCAATCTGCTTGAACCCGATCAGAGCCTCTTTTTTCTCAAACCCACTGGACAGATAGCACATGAAGGGGGCTTACGGTTTGACCCCAACTCAGATGAAGCGTTAACGATTCTCCGTTGGATCGAAGCCGGGGCTCCTTTTTCTGACGACGAACCACGCCTCAGGAAACTTGAGGTCCAGCCGAACTCTTTTGTTCTCTCCGATGTCGGAGAGACAGCACCACTGAAAGTTCTCGCCTATTTTTCTGACGGATCTGTTGAGGATGTAACCGAAAAAGTCGTTTATGAATCCAAGGACGCACCTGTCGCTGAAGTATCTCCTACTGGCGAAGTAACGAGTGTTCGCTGGGGAGGAACTGCCGTTATTGCCCGATTCTTAGGTGTTGTCACTGCATCGTTTGTAACAATTCCGCGTGCAGAATCGGTTGCCGTGTCACAGAGCGAGGAATTTACACCCAACAACTTTATTGATGAGTTTGTCTTTGCAAAACTCAAGAAATTGAATGTCCGTCCCTCTGCGTTGACATCCGATGGGACGTTTATGCGTCGGGTCTATTTGGACACTATCGGGCGGCTTCCAACGCCTGAGGAAGTGAAAGCGTTCCTCGCAGATACACGTTCCGACAAACGCGCGAACCTCATTGATACGCTGCTTGGCATGCAGGAATGGGTAGACCTGCGAACGTTGAAATTAGCCGATATGTTGCGCATCCATCCCCGTAGGTTAGGGAACGGTGCGTTCGGTGAGCGCGGTGCAACGCTCTTTCACGAGTGGGTACGTGAGGCTCGTCACGGAAAACAGACCTTACGACGAAGTCGTCCGAGAACTCATCACCGCACGGGGAAGCACTTATCAGCACGGTCCCACGAATTACTACCGTATCGAGCAGCAACCAGCGGGTAGAGCAGAGACGACCGCACAGGTGTTTCTCGGTATCCGTCTGAGTTGTGCGAGATGTCATAAGCATCCATTTGACCAGTGGACGACCGACGACTATTGGAATTTTGCCGCCTTCACTGGAAAGGTAGGGGTCCGTGGCGGCGAACTTTACAACGAGCAGGTTATCTACTATAATCCGACTGGACGCGTTATCAACCAATCTGTGCAAGGCAACCGCGGCGAAGTAGCATTACCAACTTTCCTTGGTGGTGAATCGCTCGCTCCGAATTATCAGGGTGATGTGCTGCAAGTACTGGCAGATTGGATGACCTCCTCAACAAATCCATACTTCGCGAAGGCAACTGTGAATCGTATCTGGAGCCAGTATTTCGGAAGAGGGATCGTCGATCCTGTTGACGATATGCGTGCGACGACTCCGCCAAGCGTTGAAGGTCTCTTAGAAGCCTTAGCAGCCGATTTTGTGCAAAGTGGGTTCGATATGAAACACGTCATTCGGCGAATTCTCAACTCGCGCACATATCAACTCTCCGCAGAACCGAATAAAACGAATCAGTTGGATGACCGGTTTTTCTCGCGCTTCTATCCTCGACCGATGGTAGCACAGGTGTTGTTAGATGTCTTAAACGATGTCACTGGCACCAGAGAAAAGTATGGGCGTTATCCAATTGGGACGCGTTCCGTGGAATTACCGCTGCCAGTGAGTTCTCGTTTTTTATCGCTCTATGGACGCTCTTCTCGTGAATTCCTCGGCGATTTGGCACCGAAGTTGGAACCGACGCTCGCCCAGGCACTCCACATGATTAACTCCAATTATGTCCATAAAAAATTGAAGAGTCCCAGTGGATCGCTCAGCCATCTGCTTCAGGCGGAACTTGACGATCAAAAACTTATCACCGAGTTGTACCTCAGCACGTTAAATCGGTTTCCGACTGATGCGGAGCTTGAAACAGCTGAAGTATATATCGCTGAGAGCCCGGAGCGTCGTTCAGGGTCTGAGGATCTCCTATGGGCACTCATCTCATCGAGAGCATTTCTCTTTATCCAGTAAATTGATTGCTGGATAACCTTACGGCGAGGCATCGAAGCCCTGCCATTTCCATTTCATAAATTGCAACCCTTTGCTTGTGGGAGAAATACCCAAGCAAAACACCCCGTTAACTATTGAGAGATCCTTGAGGAAACCAAAAATTTACGCTAACAATGGAGAACACAACGATGATACAGTCTTTTAGACGCTATTTCGCATTGAGCTTTTCTGTGCTGTTTCTGATCGGAAACATAGTGGTGCCAGCGTTAGGGCAGGCAGAAAAAAAGGAAGATCTGATTGGGCATTGGACCTTCGAGAACGGTGTCGAATTGGAGGACCTGACGGGACACTTTGGCGATATTGATCTCTTAGATGCCGATGTGAAGGACGGAAAATTGCGCATCGGCAATAATGAGTGGGCAATGACCACAGGCTATAAAGGACCTGACATCGGTCCCGACAAGACATTGGTAACGTGGATCTATTTAGACGATCTGAGCATCACAAGAGGTGCCACACTGGCGGTCAACAAAAGCAGCGGGGACACCTTTGACGCGATCGTTTATGCGGAACGCCAACCGAAACGTTGGATGGCTGGTAGTAGCCACTTCAGACGCACCCAGGATGCAGACCCCGGTTTTGAGGAGAAAGAGACAGGGAAACTGATCCAACTGGCGATTTCGTATGAAGATGATGGCGGAAACACGAAGATTATGATATACCGCGATGGCGATGTTATCGGTGATTATACGATGGGGCCGATTGTTTCTTGGGAAGCCGGTGATGTGGAAGCACTGTTCGGTCCGCGTGCTCTCATTGGTGGCACCGCCTACGGCTGGGTCGTCGCGCGTGTGGAAGATGCGAGAATCTACAACGCCGTTCTCGACGAGAAAGAGATTAACAACTTGACCGTGGACACTTTGGATGTCGAAGCACGTGGTAAACTCGCGGCAACGTGGGGAAGGTTGAAATTTTCCAAATAGGGGTTTGATAGAAGGTAAAACGCCGTGGGAAGAGGTTATTGTGTCTCATCCTACGGCGTTTTGTTGGTTTTTATGAGTTTTACGATTCACTATTCTTTGTCAACCGTGCAACGTCAACCGTGCAACGATTTGTTCCACAGCCCCCTCTGCACGCTCCCGAATTTGATCGGGTGTCAGACTCTGGATCGGATGAGGAACGGTGAGTGGTTCCAAATCACTATGACCCAGCACACGCGCCTGTACTTTGCCTGCAGCGAAGAAGACTTCCGTACAAACTGCGACGCTTGGGATTCCGCGTTCCTCTAAGGCACTTCCATCGTGCATACTGCACGATATACAGGATCCTCAGTCGGCAAGTCCTTCAATGACGAAATCTGCCTGCTCCGCCAGTTTGACGAGCAATTCTGCTGGCGCGGGACGCGAGAACGTCGGTTTTTTAACGTGAATTACCTCGGCAAGGTCGAATTGTTCCTGCATCAATTCAGCAATGCGGTCGAGGAAGATATCGCTG